GTTTCATTCTTCTCCTCTTTATCACACAACAAATGTAATGTAACACTTTGATGAACACTGTGTGCAAACACCGCAACTCTGACTGAATCCTGCAAAAACTTGAAGGTATAGTATGTCGAATCTTATGACAATGTTTACATTCAAATATCTAAATTAATAAAAAATTTACTAAACCTATGTTATATATATTTTTTTGAGTACTTACATTACCTCAAATATTTCCAACAGTCATTAAAGCCACAGAAATCCTTCATTTTGAAGTTGTAACGGGACGTGTCTTGTCGCAGCAGCCATGACGGATACAAAATGTTTATCGTTGCCAGGAAACCGGATGTTACGTCCTCTGCTGCATGAGGAAGCGTGAGCTGCTACTGAAAGCTGCCGCTCTGTTGTTGTATGAGCTGCTGTGATAAAAACGTCATGTAAATTATACTTGGATACATCGTCGGTAAACATTTTCTCTCCCTCAGGTCGGTTTCGCCCGTTCATGTTGACTACGTTTTGATTGAGAGCAGATTTTACATACTGTGCGTTTAAAGGGCCTATATTATGCTTTTTCTGGTTTTATATGCTCTTTAGTGTGTTTTCCATGTATCCTGTGCATGTTTAGGCACATCTATGTGCAAAAATTCTGCGTAAACACAGACTTGGCACACGTGGGGACTCTGAACGTGGGCACTTCAGAGCCTTAGAGAGAGAGTCAGAAGCGAGCCGGTGCATGGAGCGGCAGTTCATGAAAACAGACACTTTTTTATAACTTGAGTTATTGTGAACATACTTTAGTAGGTACATAGATTAAATATACGAACCCCAAAAAGTACATAATATGACCTCTTTAAAGCTCCAATCAATGAATTCAAATGATCACAGCCTAATTACTAACCTATATTTATAAACCCTTCATAATGGAGGACATAAAGACGAGCCAAAGTCTCACACTAAAGAGATATTAATAAAATGCAGAGTTACAATGGCAATATGTTTTAAGATAACTATCTGCCTGTTCAACACATGTCGCACAGGCTGCTCAGTGAACCTTACAGACACACTCTGTGTCTGAAATCTGTGTGAACAGTGATGAGCCTTCTTCACACTTATTGTCTCCCCTGTGCGAGCACAACCTCTCTCTCTCCCTCCTGTCCGCTCCGCTGAAGTGTGTCGTGGTGTTTTAGTTTGGCTCTGTGCTTTTGCCCCTCTGACCTTGTCTTCTCTGTCTCTCTCTCTGACAGGTGAAGCCGCTCATATGGATCGAGAGCGTGATTGAGAAGTACTCTCACAGCCGTGTGGAGATCAAGGTGAAGGTAATGATGACATAAACACACACACACACACACACACACACGCGCACACACACAGGCTACAGTGTCCTCTGCTCATCTCGTCCCTCACTGGAGCTTATTTGATATTTATGCCACATACCTCTCAGGTGGATTACCGATTACCATCTGTTCGTGATGGCCGTGTGGACTCAAAAGAACAAGCTGCAGTGTGCATAATCAAAAGAATCCATCGTGATTTTAATTTTGGATCTGCATACTCCTCTTCTCTTCTATCATAAAGGTCTCGAATGACATTTAATCCCTGCCCTCTGTGTCACTGTCCACAGGCTAAAAGTCAGTTTAAAAACCGCTCCACCGCCAACAACGTGTCCATCCTTGTTCAGTGCCCAGTGACGCAGACTCACCCAAGTTCAAGACGAGCACGGGCAGCACAAAGTGGGTGCCAGAGAAGAATGTGGTGCAGTGGAACATCAAGTCTTTCCCTGTAAGTGTGGCGAAATATCACTCTTTACGACCTAAAATACATGCAACACACGTTGTCTCTGCAGAACAGAACTGTCCTGTCTCACCCTGATGATTTTAAAGGGGCGATCAGCATTACTGTGATTCACAAAGGTCCCTTAACTCCAGAACTGGAGAAATGTAATTGGAAAATGATGAATGTACGCAAGCAAAACATTTGTCTTTTATGCTTTTTTTTAATCAAATACAGCGTTTGAGTGTTTTTTTGAAAATCATCACATCTGTTTTCTATTATTTACATTTTACACGTACCAACCAAGCAGCAACCTCCGGCTTTGAAAAAATGAAGCCAATGCAGAAGTGCAAAATCCTGCAGTTCCGTCGAGTATCCTCTTGAGGCTCCAGGAACACCGGAAGTCACATACACATGACAGGCAAAAGAGTCAGTTTTTACAGCATCAGTCAAGATGTTTACAACCTGGTACAAAAAAACAAATAGGACTGATTAGTTATTGTCATCACTGGCACACACTGTATTAGCAGTGAATTTTCAAAAAACGGCTCTGTTTTGAGTTTGAAAACTATGCATGTTATTCATAGTTAGGAACGTAGCTGACATGATTGACAGGTGGGTGCGATGTAACGGTTCATCAAGAGGCTTAGAACCCGCCTCAGTTCCGGCTCTGTACTACAGGTAACACCCTGACTATTAATAAGTACCTTAAAAAACAAGGTTGTATTTTGACATACAGTATGTGAAGTTTTAGACAGCAGCTGTTTATCACATTAAAATCATCCCCTCCACACACAACAATCTTAGCTCTCCTTTTCCTGCTGTCCCTTTCACAATTTCACATCAGTCTCTGCTGCCAGCGAGCTAAAAACTCCTCTAAAGAAATGTTTTACAACTCTCAGAGAATTAATTCAGCTTTGGTTGCCTTTTTATCTGTCAACTTCAGAGATCCCCTCAGTAATTATTACACCATCTGGCTGTCAGGGAGGGTTCAGAGTTGCTCTTACTTGTGACGTATTTGGTTATCTAGCTGGAGCATGACTCCGCGTCACATTCTTCTCCGTCATTGTCAACCTTTGGACCCTATAAAACTGCGTATTCTCTCAAGACACCCTTCTCAACTCGAATTGTTTGATTGGAGTTTTGGAAACAAGGATGACTCATCGCTGGTTGTGATAAAAGAAAAAAGCTGATAAACACGCTCGTCGTCAGGCGGGAAGTTTTCAGCTCAGTCCATTTTTTTTTTTTTTTTTTTTAAAACAACCCAAAACCATAAACATTACCGTCCTGCTCATAAAGGTTTTCTAAAGTAGGCCATTTGCCTTCAGCTATTTTATACGCATAATTATGCACATTTTTCACACACTTCTCATTTAAAGGGAATGAGAATATTATACAAGATATCCAACATTTAGTCATTAGCTGCAGGCAAGGAGAGCAAAACTAAAGTTTATCCACAGCAGCTGTACGAAGAGGGAAGAAAAGTATTTTGACTCTAGTTTTTTATTTTCAAATATTTGAGTTCATTAAATTCTCTGGAAGTTTAACACTTATTACAGCAGGCACCTTAATACAGGGGTTCCTAAATGTTTCATCCCGTGACCCCCAAAATAACGATGTGAGAGACGGTGGGGGGGGGGGGGGGATCCTCTCTGTCCCTAGACGTGGTTAAAGCATTTAACGTTGCACAGCAGCATGCACTTTTAGGCCTATCCAAACACTGACATTAGAACAACACTAACAAACACAGCAGCCTTCAGATGTTTGATATTATTTCAGCATTTTTAGTTACAAAGAGAACAACAGATGCCTACATTGTTACAGTCAGACTTTCATTTAAGCACAAATATCACTTAAGGACTATTTTACATTAATAGGTAAAATATGCAAGTTTAAGTCATTTCAAATTTGTGTTTATTTTAGGAAGGCATCATGTGACCCCCCCTCCCAGTGTCTCACGACACCCACTTTGGGAACCACTGCGTGTCTTATCTGAAACAGTTGGAACAGTTGTGTTTATTTCCCAGCACAACTTTTCGGTAGTTTTCCTCTCTGAGCTCTTCTCGCTGGTTTAAAGAGGACGTCTGGAAAAAGGTGATGTCACAGACAACATTTACCAGGCCTTCTAATCCCTTAAACCCCACCGTGACGGGATCCCTCAGGTCCTCTGAGCAGTCTCTCCTGGTCGTCCTGCAGGCTGTTGGGGAAACTCAGGGGGGTGACTCCGCCTTGAAGGTTGCGGGCCCCCATTTGTGGAACCAACTGCCTCCCTGCACCAGATGTGCATACTCAGTCCTTTAGAAGCACAGCTCCAGACAAATCAAATGTCAGAATGTCTTTTTACTTTTGCAATTGTGTTAATGTTACCACTGACTCCAGTGTCATTTCTACCAATGTTGCCTTTTTCAGCCTTAGCCTGACCCTGATCAACATGTTGCACTGACACAATGATTTGATGAGTTTTCAATCTTTTTCGACAAAATGGTAACTGATCTGCAGAAAGTTAAACCAAAGTACAGACTCAGTGCTCATGTGACGTATTACACAAGTTCTGCATGAAAAATGATTAACCTGCTACTTATGTTTGTAGCCAAGACATTTACCCTGAAGCTACATCCCATAAATTGCTATCTGATTGACCTTAACATGACTCGGGAGTTTCCTCAAATGGCCATGAATATAAAGTTTGTTTTGTTTTTCGGACAAACATCCTTGTGTTAATTGGAGTCAGACGTCTGGGGACAGAACTCGAGCAGATTTTTCTGAACAGCGTCCTTTTCGAATGTAATGTTTTACCAGCTACAGTAACCACTTTGTGGCCTTTGTTTCCTCTGCTCTGTTTTTCATGTGTAGGGTGGGAAGGAGTACATGATGCGGGCTCACTTCAGTTTACCCAGTGTGGACGGGGAAGAGTTGGAGGCGAAGAGACCGATCACTGTGAACTTTGAGATCCCATATTTCACTGTGTCTGGGATTCAGGTAGGACCCTTCATTAACGTCCTTTAAAAAAAGTCCTAAGTCCTCTTTTTACTGTTGTCTTACACATGCTGAAACTGCAGAGGAAACTATAAATGTGCTTTATAAAAGGCATGTATTCATTTAGACTAGGGCCCGACCGATGTGGGATTTTTGAGGCCGATACCTTAATCACCATTGGGGAGAGAGAAAATCTGTTACCAGTATATCTGCTGATATCTTTCTTAGAGCTATGTTCGATCTGTTGTAATAGATAGATATTGATATACACATGTATTGCGTTGATCCCTCAAATTCAGTTGTCAAACATTTGTGGAAAAGATATGTCAGTATAACATGAAAACTGCTCACGTACAGTTCATGTACTGCTCATGTACGTGCGTCACAGTGATTATGCTTGTTGTAATCCATATAGCGCCCTCTGCTGGTGACAGCCAGAAAGAGAACTGCACGTGTAATACAATGAAACTCAAATTAAATGCTATTTTACTACTGACTAAATCTAGTAATATCGGCACATATCTGCGATAAAAATGTGCAGATACCGATAGTCACTTGATGCTAATATCGGCCACTGTTATCGGCTGGCCGATTTATCGGCTGGCTCTAATTTAGACTAACCAAGATTTAGGTTTTCCTTTCACATATTTAGCTTAAGAAGAAAATAATGTATATATGCAAAACCAGGCTGCCCGTACGGAGCTAAAGGCACACAGGCTGTATACAGTTCATGTTGTTGTGTGTTGTTGTGCATGAACGAGTGTAAACGCCTTATTCGACCTGTGTGTGTCCTGAAGGTGCGTTACCTGAAGATCATAGAGAAGAGCGGTTACCAGGCATTACCATGGGTGCGCTACATCACACAAAGTGGAGGTGAGAACAAACACACTTATAAACCTAAACATCTATGAACACACACACTTTTCGTTTCACATACTTGACTGCTTTTAGGATTCATTTGTTTTCGTTTGTAAGACATCATATGCTTAGTGATTGTGCTGCTTAAAGTCTGAAGCCTGTTGTGACTCGTCTTGGATCCATATTATTCCTTGTAAACCTCATTTCAAAGAAGTGTTTGTCTCAGGTATTCCTTCTCGAGATAGAATCTCAACACACACCTTGTCTGCCTCATCATGACTAGGATGAGGGTCTGAAACCGGTTTCTCTTTAGGAACCCAATTCTGCATTTTTCAAAGCACGTTTAAATGATAAACAAACCATTTCCTTATCAGTACGTGTTGCCGTCTTGTCTTCCTACTAAATAATAGAAAAGTATGGTCAGTGTGGTATCGATAAGGACTAAACCATCTGAATTAATTACTGATGAACATCCAGCACCCACATCGTATAGGATCTTTTATCCTCCAGTTTTTCTGTTTTGCTTCTTTCCCCGTCCCAAGTCCAAACCCGTTAGCAAGGCGGAGGTTACCAAGAGGTTAAATATGATGTTTTCTGTGGGAGAGCAGCGTGAGGATCAGTCTTTCTCAAACACTATTCAGCCTGTGCCCTACGAGTGAACCCAGCTGTATAACATCCGTCATATCCATTACTTTGGCTCTATCACCATGAGTTACATCCTCAGGGGATTCCAATGAAACCCCACAGGATGCCAAGGATGGAAACTTTACTACCCTGTTAGCCTCTGTGTCTTACTTTTTCAAATGTGAACTGGAGTGCTGTAAACTCAAGCACTGCTTTGTTTAGGAGTGCTAATCTGTGTATTTAGTTTTTTCTTTTTCTGGGAGTGAACCGTCCCGGATCACGTCTGCCAAAGTCAAGGGCGACGAGCACAGAGGGATGTTTGAAAGTTTGTGAGCTAACTACTTTTATCAACCTCTCTAATCTTAAATTAAACACTGGATAATGTTGAAATAAAGAAGAAAAGACATCTCTGACTTAAACACTTGCTTGATTTTAAGACCGATAACACATCATTGCATATAAAAGTGACAGCATATCGATGAGAGTGCGGTGAAATCCGTCTCAAGCAGCCCACTACATTCAATGGGGGGGACAAATGGAAATGATATGGAGATTGAAGTCTGGTATCTCCACTGGACCGCTGCCAGAAATCCTTAAGTTTTGTAACTGCAAACGCGCCCGAGGAATGAACCTGACGCCGTAACATCCATCATATCCATTACCTGGACGTGTCGGGAACGAGTCGTGGGGCTGCGGAGGTTTGAGCGATGCCTAAAAGTGCCGGGGCGGCTCCCAGGGTGGCACTCAGGGAATGCCAAGGTTACTATCGCCTCGCTGTGATATCAGCAAGAGAGCAGAAGAAGGAAAGAGAGAGAGTAAGTAAGGGAAAAGTCAATGCTACAGCATAGAACAGTGTGGTAGATATTTGTTGGTTTCCCAATCTCTCCTCGAGGTCAGTAACCTTTCGTCCTCGGTTTAGAAAATCCTGATTATTAAGATTATATTGAAGATGTTCTATTAAATGAAGTGTTGAATCACTCTGGCCAAGTGGGGTGACAACACGGTGACTATGCTCGTGGTCGAGTTATGAAAACTTTTGAATTGTCAGTTTTGCAAATTGAGTCTTTGGCAACACTTCTTAAAAAAATAAATAAAAATAACTAAAAAAAAACATGCAAAGGTGAGATAGTGACAGTGAGTGATGTGTTCCTCATCACTAAGCAGCAGTCGGTACACCAGAGAATGAAGGTGGAGATAAGGCAACCTGCACCTGATCTTCAAATCTCTTTGGATAAAGCAGCTAGTGTTAGCTCTATTTTAAGGAAAAGATGCTTACAGACGATATAAAACGTTTTCAAACACGTGAAAATCCAAAGAGAAAGAAACATGTTTGACGTTTAGATGAATGCAAATTATTGTCTAATACAATCGCTGCAAAAAACGCAGGGGTCATCAAAGGCAACGATTCAGAGAGCTATACGTGAACCTTTGAAACAGCCTGACGCACAAATAAAAAGGCCTTAGAAAGTAGCCTTGTAAGTGTTTGTACTGCAGTTCAACCATGTGTAGAAAAACTAAACCATGTTGTTGTACACACATACACAGGCAGAGGCTTGATGATTATATTTAATTCCATAAAGTCTTCTCAAGCTGCGGTATGATGCTAACTGCTTCGTTTCTGACCACTGACCGTCTGACATTTTTGCCGTCTGTACTTGATGCTGCACAGTACGGTTTCTGAATGCCTGTTCATCGCTCATGAATAAGTCAGAATTGTTTTAATCAGTGCGAGTGTGTGTGAGTGAAATGTGAGCATCAGCGTCTCGTCTCCTCCCTGTGTTGCTGATCGTTACAATAAGAGAGAGGTGATAGTGTCCT